ACGCATTTGTACTGTGAGTTTAAATATTTCTCGTCTTTGGCCATCTCTTCCCTTTCACTTAAGATCTCCTTCTTCGTCAGAGTTACTTTTTCTATATAGGCATCTGAAAAGTTGGGTTAACAGCACATATTATTATTAGCATCGTATAATAAGACAAGCAAGGTAACTCCTAAGGATGCGTACAGATCAGGCGAATGCGCTGTACGCGTGCAGTAAAGCCTCAAACTCATTAGCGAGTTGTAACTGAAACGTAACAGATACAGTAACGAGGTTCTAGTGTGTACGCGTGAACCATTCATGACTCGCTAGAATGAGTATCTTGAATGAGGTTATCGTCGGCTTACTGCGCAACACACATGTTCCGCTCACAGCAAGCTCGTGTATCACGTACACAGTATGATTTTCGATAACATAACATGAAACGGTTATAGTTACTGCTCGCTAGTGAGTACCCGGCTTTAGCGCACTGCTGTACTCATATCTCAGGCAAGGTTTACACATGGCGCGAAAGCGACACGCGATGCATTACACTATGAAATGCACGTGTGCAGCTCGCGGGCCGTTCGCTAACAAGCGAATTCGCCAGATTTGTACGCAAGCGTAGCAGCGCGAATTGTATGTGTGCTCGAGTGTCGCACGCCATTTTTCATAATACACAGTCATGGAGGAACAAGCGAGATACTTCTTTGGAGCAGCTCTCAGAATGGGGCCGACAGAATCTAGTACAATTTAACCCCGCTTAAACACAAGTGTGTGCGTTTACCGCTAAGAAATCCCCATTCGTAACAGCGCCAAAGTTCCGGAACATTGCCCTTACCATCTCAAAGGGTTTTGGGATACTTGGAGTCGACATCATGAACGAAGTCCAGTTCCGGAGCCATTTGGAGAGCAAAGCCAAACTGGCTTCAAAAAAACTCGGAGTGCTCAATAGAGCGAAGCAGTACTTCTCTCCAGGTCACCGACTTTTGTTATATAAAACACAAGTACGGCCCCATATGGAGCATTGCCCGCAACTCTGGGAAAGAGCTCCCAAATACCAGCTGGATCCACTTGACTCCATCCAACGTAGGGCTGGTCGTATTATCGATGATCCCAAACTCACAGACGGTATGGAGCCCCTTAGCCTACGGAGAGATGATGGCTCTCTGTGTGTGTTCTACCGTCTTTATAATGGGGAGTGCTCTAAGGAACTTTTCGAACCGGTGCCACCGTCTCGTTTCTACCATCGCACCTCCCGCCAAAGGAGTAGAGTCCATCCCCACATCTTAGATGTCTGGCATTGTAAGACCACGATCTCGTTCGTTTCTTCCTCGAACCTGTTTGGAATGATCTTCCTCCTGAAGTGTTTCCTTTGCGCTATGACATGGGGTTCCTCAAAAAACATCATAACAGGGCTCTCAAAGGCAGGCAGTGCATAGGCAGCTTATCTGATGTTGCAAATGTCCTTGGGCGACGATGACCACCTCCTTTCAAGTGGCTCGTTTGCCTCCTTCTTTACATAAAAAAGAAAGCGACACGCCTATCCACAACAGTCGCAGTGCCTCTTAGAACTTTTAATCGCAAAGAATTTAGAGGCACTGCCACTGTGCCTGTCATTCTCAGACATAAGTTGGCAAGTCCCATGTGCCTGTAATTTCACCAGTAATGCTCACATTACTGCCTGGCGGCAGAAATAGGTATGGTGACAGTTTTTCCCTAAACGAACCCTTTTCTAAGGAACTCTACTGCTACTAAAACTTGTCTATTACATTAAGGTTATTAGGAGGACTCGAATTTATCTTTCATAGGCTCAGAGGGAAACGAGTTAAATTATCACCTTAACAACATCTTGTTAATTTCAATCACATTTTTTTCCCGTGAAATATTACAATGCCACAACTGTGCACATGTGGTGGATTCGAAGATTCTCCATCCCTACACCCACTATACGCAAAATAGCTCGTTACACCATACCACAAGATTCTATAGTCTGTCTTTTTTGAAGACGGAATAAAATGACAGTTCTTTGCGCAAAAGTGTTACCCGCTTGCGAGCAGCTAGTAATTGCAGTCGATGGAATATTGGTCACGCTTATTAAATAAATAGCCCAACTTGTTTCATTTGAATCATCCTCGACCCATTATTCATCCAATTACTAAGCACAAGTTTATTTTAATTGTTAATTTTGGAAGTTCGTACATATACTGTATTTAGAACTTTGTGTATGAAAAATACAATGAGGAGACATATTTTAAAGTTTTTCTTTTAATTCAATATAGATAATCAAATCCGACTGTTCTTGATAAAATGGTACGGATAAAAATTGATCTCGATACTAATACGTCAACTATCAAAATAAGAATAAAGAAGGTAAGAACGCAATCACTAACAATTAGAACTAAAATTTTATCTTCTTTCATAATCTATCGATAAAACTATCGATAACAACTACATAAGTATTTAAAATTTTATGACAACTGGCAACCCTACCAATGTCATTTTATTCCGTCTTCAAAAAAAAAACAGACTATAAATTGAATAGTAAGCATTTAATAATATTATTTCTTATATAACTTTTACTATGTGCACAGCATGTGTTTACGCTTTTCATCCAAAGTAGCTAGTCAAATAACCCCGTGTTTTGTCTTTGTCCATAGGATGGTGCAACCGATCATCGTCGTTTGAGTGAATCTTGATAAATATACCGTGTATCTTTCAACCCGGACACTGGCAAAATTGTCCTCAGTGGGACAGAAGCCAAATACCCAAAAAAAAAAATATATTATTTCTTACCTATATTAGTTTGAAGTTCAAATTCCTCCTTAGGTGATCTAGGTCCAACATAATCCTTAGACACCCTGGGTAGGTGTAGATCATTTTTGACTATCCTAGGTAAGATATTTTCCCCTTTTCTCTTTTTTGTACTATATTTATTTTTCCCTTTTCGTCTGCGTTTCCGGACGCATTGTATATTGATGCCTTCCGACTCCAATTCTTCTTTTAGTAACTTCAATGGGTGCTCGTCTTCTTCTTTTATGTAAGCATCTAGTTCTGAAATAAAATTTGTAATTTTTCTGATGATGATGACGAAATGGATATGTACATACTGCTGCCTCCGTGGCCGAACGGTTACCATGTTCGATTCCCGAGCCGGGAGTAATATTTGTGAGGCCTACATTTATTTCTCTCGTGAGCTTGGGTATAATTTGAAGTTGTCTATGTGTGTGTCCATGGCACCCGCGACACAGAGTTTCCCCAGTTTATTATTATTATTATTTATTATTATTATACTAAAGAAACGTTCATATTTTAGGTAAATTAACTTCCTCAAATTCCAATCACTGAAAATAATACAGAGTGAATTGATTGCAAGAAAAAAAATCCCAAATTATAATTACCATCCCCACAAATTTCATCATCAAGGGAATCCTCTTCATCTTTTAACTCCGTCTTGATCCTAACAATTGCTTTTTCACACCCATTTGAAATAACAGTAAATGATTCCTTATTCTCATCATCGTCAGGTTTTAATGTACTAATGTCATGGTATAAAGAGATCTGTTCTAATGGTTGACAAGTAAGATCGACTTGAGGGTGTATTTGAATTTTTATTGCTTCTATTGTTGTGGTAGTTACCTGAAATTTCATTAAATTACTTTAAACATGAACCAATAAATCAAGAGGAGTGTTAATCTCCATACTACAGATTGTAACTCTGATAAAGGTCAAAATTCCGTCTTACGTCTAGACGGCGCTGATCAACAAATGGCCTAGAAGTAGTTTATATTACATAATATCAATTAATTCCACTTTAATATGAAATACACGGCACCCCTTACACTGTCACGTGCCGGTAATCCAAAGGCTAAAGAATCGGCATTAAAGAAGTATTCCCTCTGGAACTGGAAACTAATCAAGTCCGTATAAATCTCTGGAAGGAGAGATACCCCACTACATCACTAATTCCGCTGTCGGAGCACCTCCCTCTTGGGCATAATCTACCATGGCACACTTGGAAGTCTTTAAATAGACTGCGGACCCAAGTCGGCCGAAGCACAGGTGGGGTTATAGCTCTGAGAGTGCATGTATTTGTGGTATCTCTCCCCAGACTATGGCACATCTATTGTCTCGTCTTACGTACCCCTACACCTGCACAGGCGAGGACCTGTACCTACTACGCCACTGATAATGTTGTAACAGTCGCTGAGTACTGGTCCTCGCAAACGCAAACGTCAGAGTCGACACGCTAAGAAGAAGAATATGAATTATAAATATTGACCATGAGCTAATATTATTTTCTAAACTCTGACAAATAAAAATAAAATAAATTTTGTTACATTTTGAATGTACTTATACATAATTACGTCATTACCATTGTTCTAAATTATTTATATTTTTAAATATTAAATTGATTGTTTACTTTTTTTTATTATTAATCTTTAATTTTTACGTTTATATTAATATATTGATAAAATGTTAGTAATTTTTGCATGTAAATTTATTTTTCTAATTTAATTAATAACAGCTGCTCTCTCAATTTGCGGTGCCCTTGCAGGATGCTACAAGTTCTGTAATATAAATTGTAAAATCTTGATTTACCATATAGCTTGCAAATAAAGATGAATATGAACATGAATAAATATTCAAGGCAATAGATGGCATTGTGTGTTAAGACTGTAAATTAACGCTTGCTAATATGGATAGATGGCGCTAATCTTAAACAAAATTAAAGAATAGCCAGTAGTATCCATAAAAATTTAGCTGATTTGTTTGTTATCACCAGAAATTAGAGTAGCTTTTTGCCAAATTGGCGAGCTTGCCAATGTAAAACAAATTGGTTACACAAATGTAGTACTAAATACCACAAAGTTTGAAAACGAAGCTTTTCAATCTTTAGCATTCTACCTGTTATGACATACGGAGCCGAGACGTGGACACTCACGATACGGTTAGTTCACCAGTTAGAAGTCGCTCAACGAGCTATGCTCGGAGTTTCTCTGAAGGACAAGGTACGGAACGAGATTGTCCGACAAAGAAGTATGGTCGTCGACATAGCTGGTAGATAAGCAAGCTAAAGTGGCAGTGGGCTGGCCATATCTATCGAAGAACCGATAACCGACGGGGGAATCGAGTTCTTGAGTGGAGACTACAGCTCGGACAACGTAGTGTAGGACCAGATGGAGTGACGATTTGTGAAGGACTGCAGGCAGTAGATGGATGCAACGGGCTGAGGTACAGGCGAAATGTCGCGAATTGGGAGAGTCCAGCAGTGGACTACGATACGCTGTTGATGATGACCCGACTACGCTGTAGTGTCCTATCGTGGTATTGGTTCGTACTATAGATAAATGTGGCAGGCAATCGCACCAATCACCTGGATGATGATGGTGTAACTAGTAAATTTGTCTGAATTTCAGAATGAAATGTCAAATTCCATATACGTTTCCAAAAACCAATTCTGAATGTCAGAATTTAAAACACTGAAAACAGGTTTCAGAAACACGCTATTGACATTACACTTTTAACTTCAGATTGGCTTTTAAATTGCAAGGTTAGCCCTAGTTAGACCCCAGATAGGACAAACGAGTTGTGCACTTGGTGGTACGTGACAAGAAAGGCAACTTGCAAAGATCTGAAGAGTACTGCCACTGAGCCCGTTACTCTGAGACATAAGTTGACAAGTACCATTTCCTTAAAACTGGAATGCAGAAATGCTCACATTACTGCTTGGCCGCAGAAATAGATAACATGGCAGGGCTTTCCTGGACGCACTCTTTCACAAGAAGCTCTACTGCTACTATACTAGTTCCAATAGCCCGAGTGATAAAGCTAGATATTTTTTGTACTTACATTTTCAAAGTTTTCAAGGTATATTTGATTATTTTGTATGTTTTGAATGAACCAGTCGGTGTGTTGGGCTAATCTCTTACACACATAACACAGGCATATTTGGTCAAGCTGTAAAAAAAACCCTTACTTATCATTATAATCTCAACAATAGTATTCAATTATGGGAAACACAACAAACAAATACAAGAGTCAATACCTGGAATGTTAAAATTGTAATATATCCCTATTTCATTATAAATCAACTTGAAATCGTCATGACAATTACAGCACACAACTTGGTTATAAAACAGGTTCCCAAGAGGACAAGTATGACACTCTAGAGTTTGCTCTACATTATGTGTAGATATACACTGTTCATGTTTGTTGTTTACCACAATTATGTAAAAATATTGATAGAAAACACTTGAAAGAGCTAAATGTTAGCAATACATTGTATGGTCTCAAACTAGAGAATTTCCTGAACAATGAGCACCAAAGCAAAGAAATTAAGTACCAGGTGCTGCCCAAAACATCCAGAAATAAAAAATAAAATAAAAAAGTTGATATCCCAAATGAGTGCTATAAGCAATTGAAGTCGAGACTTACTCATCTAGCATCCGTAATGCATATCTATGGGTCACTGAGGTTCTTATACAATGTGAGAGATAATTTTATTCTCTTTTTAAATGCTACAATATTTCACCAATTTTGCGAATAATCTATTGCCCTGGACGGTTTATCTGCTATCCACTAAAACTAAATCGCAGCTAAGTGACAATTGGCATAATAACCATATTAAATAGCAAAAAATAAGAGCTTAGCGTAATTCTATTGTAAAATTAGTTAAATTAAAATATTGCTGGTTTATTATTATTATTAGGGCGGCTTAATTCGGGGAAATATATAGCCCCTCATCACTGTGACCATCAGCAGATCTATTGTGATCACCACTAATTACTGTGGAGCCATGGCTGACAGCATTGAAGAACTGGAAGGCTTTCCTGGCACCGTAAAGTCAAAGATTATTTATTCCATAGGTAAAATAAATTTACACTTGAAAATGTCACATTTAAGCTTAGTAAGATTTTATGTCCTCCGGTTGTGGCATGTGCCTTCCCAGTACAAAGCTTCATACGCCATCAGAGGGTAGCATTGGGTGAGAAGATAAACAGGAGTTTCATCCACCTCGTAGCAGAATCTACACTCTAGATCTGGTTGACTTTTAGAGTTGTGTGTTAGCCAAAGACGAGTTTTGGGGTAATGCCGTAGATATGAATAGAATCTTTCATCCTGCAGAAGGAGGCGGTTTGGGCAATTTACAATCTACCCCAGAATGTCTTTGAGAGATAAGCTTAAAGAGATTTTAGATATTCTTAACATACTAGTGTCACATTAAAATGGAATTTATGTTAAGAATAATATTTTTTTTAATGAAAAATAGTGACAGACAACATTAACATGAGGAATAAAAATAAAACTAGCTATTTTTGACAGTCTCACAAAGTCATATATTAATTTACGGGGCGATGTATATGCTATTATAATAAAATACCAGTTGATATTCAAAATTAACCATTTACGTGGTTTAAAACTATAGTGAAACAAAAACTTTATACAAAGATTATAACATCTTCTGCGTACTTGGATGACAAAATCTGTGGTAGCTCTTGCAGGTATTCTCAATCTAAGTATGAAATAAATATTGTAATTGATAAATGCAATCAAATATATATTTACGTAGAGCAACCGCTAGTTTCTTGCTCATTCTTCTCAGGGGAATCTGCCTTATGAATAAATGAGCAGTACAGTTTAATCAATATTACGATTTCAAGTGTAAGTTGCTTACCAATGAAATAAAGATGGTTTCAGTTTGTATGGATAATAGGTTGAAAATTGATTATGCATATTACTATTTGTCTACTAATTCGTCTAAATCTATGTGGAGCCTGTAATAAATAAACAACTACTTAGGAAATTACCTGAAAAATTGCTTTCAGTGTCTCATTTTGTACGCTATACAAATAAAGACGTTTTTCGTCATTTGTAGAAAAGCAGGCATAGCAAAAACCATCCTTAGAAATTTCATCAGATTCTTCCATTATTTATGGCAACTAGTGAAAAATTAGACACTAATTTCACTTTCCAAAACAAGAGAAAAATAGAGAATTATTTTAGAGGTATACGTCAACGTTGATCCCACAAATTGTCTAACGTTGCGTTCCTTTACAGCCATCCGCTAATGGTACATATGGTATTTAAAAAAAAATCATCTTGAAAATTATTTTTTAATTTTTTAATACAGGGTTATATATTTTATACTACCTATAGGTAGTTAATATAGTTGCTGCGATACATCGCAGGACTATAATTATTATTTACACCATAAACAACAACTTTCGTGTCACAGTAACTTTTAATAATTCATAACATTTTACTTAGAGCCTCCTGTAGCATTAAAAAGACATTTTACTTTCATACAAAAATTAAAATATTTAAAATAGATCGCTTTAAACAGTGAATCTGCGTGAAATGAAATGCTTTGTCTAAATTCTGCCAAATTTCAAAATATTACCCTAGTTTAGTGGAAACAAAGGGTCGTATTCCAGAACTCTACTCAGTGCTCTAGTCAGAACTTGAGTATGATTTAAAGCACTAAAAATCATACTCAAATATTTGCCTAGAGGTCGTATTTCCAGTGCTTGAAATCATACTCAAGTCTGCTCAAATCCTGACTTGAGCATTGAGTAGAGTTCTGGAATACGACCCTTAAAGAATACCGTACCTTTATCAAAGAAATTTAATAGGATTGGCCATTAATTTGAAATTATAATAATTCTGTTTGCAAAACTTATTGTTGTTATTGTTGTTGATTTCCGACAAATTTAACTTATAAGTTAATAGATAAAAAAGAAAATTAAGGCTGTAATGGTTTGTTTCATATTTTGTACCGACTACATCTTAAAAAGATGCTATTTAACTTTAGATCTAAAAGAGATATTTACTACTAAGTACATTACCTATTTATATGATACATACAATTTCAGTCATATTTTTAAAACGGTTAGTTCTATCTGTTTCTGTTTTGTACGACATTTTGTAAAAGTCTATACACACAGTAATATGTCCAAATTTCAAACAGATAGAAATAGCCGTTTTTATTATATGACATCAAATCTCATAAAAAATCTTTGAAGTGCTCTACTGTAAAGTTGTTGAATTTCAGATCCGTCTTTGTTCTGCGACTACGACGAATTATACAGTTTACAAGGTAGTTTTATGATAAAAATAATAAACAAATTATAACTGAAAGTTGTATTTAAAATGCTTAAAAATTAACGAATAATAAGCCTGTCAGTCTCAAAAATGTTGATAGAAGTAGTTTCTTAACTTAATATATTTAACTTTATTGATAACGTTAAGATCCACGGCAATACTTCTGATTATGTTTAAGCAATGTACTTCGTTGTTTATACATTTTACCGCATTTCAAACACTCATGGGTACGTTCATCAGTATGAGTTAATTCATGTAATTTTAGATTGCATTTCTTCGTGAATGACTTGTTGCAAATGCTGAAAAAGACAATGTCATGTGTAGTTTTGTTCAACAAGTTCCTTATTAAATTCAGACAATTTCTTTCCACCTGTCAAATAAAAAAGTTATTTTTTACAAGATCAAGAGACGGGGCGAACGATTCGTGCGCCTGGTGTTAAGTGACACGTTTGTCCATAACGATACATATCGATATATGCCCTCGATACATCGAATCAATCCGATATTATCGTATCTTTCGGTACCGATATCTACTATCGATATATTTTATCCGACACTTGAAAAATCGTACAAAGTGGAAGGTACACAATTCAAAATTCTACAGGGTCAGGAGCACGTCAAGCCTGACACTTAAGATTGAAATTCAACTCTATGCCGCTTACGATAAGAACGATTCAAAGTTCAAAGTGTCAAGCTTGACGTGCTCTTCTCTACTCAATGCTCAAGTCAGGATTTGAGTATAGTTTAAAGCACTCGAAATCATACTCAAGTCCCTGCCATTAGGGTCGTATTTCCAATGCTTGTGTTTCCAGTGCAATCCTGACTTGAGCATTGAGTAGAGTTCTGGAATACGACTCTGCAACTGCTATGCACAGACGTGACTTGTTTGTCCAGTCACTTGGTATCATAAAAGAAAAGTAAATTGCGAGAAACAGTCAATTAACAATGTTGGTTATTAATTTACCTGCAACTATATGGTTTTTCTCCAATGTGCACCCGATTATGGAACTTCAATTGTTCTTTACTACAGAGAGTTTTGCCACAAATATCGCATAGAAAACGTTTGATGATTCCATGATCCTAAAATGAAAACATGACAAGTTATAAAGAGTACTCAATATTAATGGTTATGTATGTATAAAATTACCAGTTCTTCCACTGACTTTTAAATTTAGGCATTTTCACAGAATATTGAAAAATTAAGTACGGATTTCTTTATATTTGTGAGTTTATTGATGGCAATAATAATGTGACACACCTTGAGATGATCTGTAAGTGCTTTTCTAGAGTCACAAGGTAACGAACAATGCATACAGACATATCTCTTCAATTCCGATGACTGTGGATGTACAGTAGTGCGGTGTGCTGTAAGATATCTAAAAACACATAAATGTAACCACACAAAATTTAAAACTATTAGATTTTTATTGACGTTGATATAGAGCATAACTTATTACGGTCAATTGTAGTCATGGTTTTTTATCGTCGGTTTTGTAGAAAGGGCGAACCATTATGAAAACATTTTTCAAAAGAGCATGTGTTAAAATTCATTTTTTATTTTAATTAAGTTTAAGTTTCAAAACTGATTTCCGTTGAAAACAGTCGTGAAGAACAAAAACGTGCTCCCTTGAAAAATGTTTCAAAATGGCGCTTTCGCCTTTTCTAGAAAGCACCAACGTTATAGTATGTATTTCTTACCTATTCATATGAAAAGCAAGGCCACATATGTTGCATGCGAAAGGTTTAACGCCGTTATGTATATTTTGATGCTCTTCATACCAAGTTCTCACTTGAAATCCTTTGTCACACTTACCGCATTTGTACTGTAATAACAACATTAATAAAATTATGCGAAAATGAATAATCATCATAAACATATATTAACATCAATCTGATAATTATTAATATAAAGATCGAACACTGAGAAAAAATTCCTTCGATCCGGCCAGATTCGAACCGACGTCTTACATTAAATACAATGAATAGCGACATCTCTAGTCAGGGCTGGTAGCTGTAAACGATATACTTAAGATTTCTCATAGATGGCGCTACGGCAAAAAGTTGTTGAAAAAACCAAATACAAAGACAGGACAACTAACACACAGAAAAATTCGTGAGGTTGGATGGTTACTTCTGTGGCTTAATTGGTACAGCGCCTGACACGATATGCTAGAAGACGTCGATTCAAATCCTGCCAGATCGAAGAAATTTATTCTAATTATAACAAACAAGTGGAGTAATTTAACATAAAAAATAATTGAATATCAATTCAATAAAAATTCAAATCAATCAGATAGTTTATAATCTCAGTACAGAGTACTAAAAAAACCGACCTCAAAAGTACTTGGAATCACATCTATTTGCCAAGTTTTATTGAAATATCCACTAGTTTGCCACTATACTCAAAGTATATTGAGAGAGAAAAACGCCTTGAATTGGAGAATAGCAAAACCAAACATTAAAATAATTGCTTCTTAAGTAAAATTTAGGCGCTATTTATAAAAATGAATGTTCATGCGTGATCAGCCACCCTTAGAGGTGGATGATTTTCTTCAAATGAAATCGGTACCCTCTTTCCAACAAAAAATGAATCATGAAAATCGGTTCACACATACATTATCGCGTAACATACATACAAAAAAAAACATAGTCGAATTGAAAACCTCCTCCTTTTTTGAAGTCGGTTAAAAATAGAACAGAAAATAAGATTTTCATAGCCAGCTACGGCTTCCAACTCTCTCTGACCATATCAATCTCAAGCCAGATGTTAATGTTCTCAAATTGTGACATGCTACCTTAAATTCAGTCCTATGCCTTTTCTCATGTTCTTTCAAAGCTCCCAAGTAAACAGTGCTATAACCACATTGATAAGAACAATTTAATTTTAATCCATTGTGAGCTCTGCCATGTCGTATAATTTCCGAAACTGTTCTATATGTTCTACCTGAAAATAAAAGAAGTGAATTTAAAAATATGACTTAAAATTTTTGCTGGAAAGTAAATACTAAAGCGCCTTTTTGGCCTTTTGGAGGTCATTAATTTCGCCTTTTCAGGGACGACATGTTAATATACTTAGACCTTAGTTTGGTGTGCATATAAATAACTAAGAGCCGATACTTGCTCGCAGTTTTTCCCATACTGAATCAGTTCTGTTGAGTGGGTCAAGCTGGGTTTGTATAAGAATTTTTTTACAAATAAAATTAAGGCCATTTGAAATATGTATACCATATACTATATGTCGCCATCCCCGGGGAACAAAAAGATAACTGCCATTATCACAGTTTTAGTGTTTTATCATATTTAAGATCTTTAGGTGCCAATCATTGACCTACCAACAAATGAATTATTACCTTCGCCACTAGTACTATTGCAACCCGTAGAATAAAATGGTAAGTCAGTAACAGTGCATTACTTGTTTTCGACGCAGACACAACGAAAATAAAATGATAATCTACAATATAAATTCAACATGATGATTGAATTTGACTAATTATTTATTATTGAAATATCTCCATTTTGGCTTAACTTACGGCTGTTTCATTTATAATACAGAATGCACAAAAAAATATTCGTTCCTTAAAGCTAACTATTAATCTACCTACATTCAGTATTTAAGAACTTATCAATGAAAACAAGTTTTTTATTTTTCCTGAAATATTACTTTGTTGCAATCATCATTTTGTTCTCCGGGAATGGCGATGTGTTCTATTTAATCTAGTTGATATAAAAAAAATATATTAGTATAATAATATGAAAAGTGTCTATTGAATACAGAAGTTACCTTGTAGTTTTTTCTATTTTGAAACTTTTTAGGAATTGTGTTTTCACACCGTATACTAATCAGTGTATATCGTCAATTATAATATACCTATATTATTTCCAAAGCAATTGATTCAACACTTTCATTGTTATGCGAAATGAACCAAAGCCTTACCTATACTTACCACATTGTTTACAAATAAAAGGCCTGTCTTTGACATGAGCTTCAAAATGTCTTTTTACTGCTCTTAAGTTATCATAGACCCGACCACACGTAGTACATTTATAACTTTGAACACCGTTTCGTTCTAATATGGAGTAACTTTTTGTTGCTTCCTTCATCTTTCCATCTTTATCTTGTTTGCTGCTGTGCTCTTTATGATAATGTTTTATTAAATCATTTTGTGAGGTAAATAAAGCTGAACATGTTAGACACTTAAAATCTTGTTTATTTATAAGCAGTATTGGATTTTTCTTTTCACTTTTTTGACCATTTTTAACTTTATTTTTTATTTGTGTTGCTTTTCGTGGCCTGGCTAAGTTCTCTGTGGTACGTTTTCTTTTAATCTTTGTCTTCTTTTTGCTCGGAGTTTTGGCTACTTTCAGAGAAGACAACGTCATGTCATCTTCAGAACTGTACTGAAAAGGTTGATTAAAAATTTCTTCTGATTTACTTGGCACTTCATTATCATCATTGTGAATATAGTCACATACATCATTCAAAGATTTATTTTTTATTTCCTTGTTATCTAACGGCAAAGTGACATTATCAGTCAATTCTTCTTTGAGACTATGTTTAGAATTTAAAAGTGAATAAAACCTTTCTAATTTTTCCCTTCCATCATTTAAAAGCCGATATAACCTTTTCTGATTACTAACAACTTTTTTAGTAAACATTTCAATATCTTCTAATTTTTCTATGCAGGTAATGCATACGTGATTCGGCAGATGTTCGTCGCAAATAATCTGAAAGTGGAACATTTGTGGCATATTTATTATTTAATAAAGAATAAAAAACACGGGGCTTCGTTGCATTTTTTGTTGTCGACTGTCTCGCATGCTTGGTATTTAATACACTACATATATTATTCTCAAAAACTATCCAAATGTATCGTAATGTAATCTAGATGTATATATATGTAAGTAAAAATAACAAATTTTAAGTATAAAAACGGTAGAAAATGCTTAATTATTATTTTTAAGGATCACTAACCTGCACCGATAAACATGATTGAATTTTAAGTAAAATATCACTGCCTTCTGCAATTTCGTTCGAGGTTTGAGTAATTGCTTCTAAGCATAACCGGCAAATTAAATTCATTTCAAAACTTTAATTCAACTACCGGCAAAAAATTATAATATATTTTGCTAACAAAAAACAACACACATTCTTGACATTTCTCACAGTGCTGCCAAAAACGGTCCTCGTTTTCCCTATAATTAATAATTAAGTAGCAACATTTGCAACATGCCGCGATCGCGGAAACAACTGTTAGCTATTATACTTATTGTGAACTAAATACATACATAATGTGATTTGTTCGTTGAACGATTTACTATATTATTTTAAATCAATTATATTCGATTCTGCATATCGATTAAAACTACATTTTTTGTATTCTCTGTGGTAGGACACATCTTGATTCGAATTTGTACTGGTCAGTAAGAGGAATACGAAAATAAAAAAGAGTTAAGACTTGATTAGTGTTTCCTTGATAGGAATAAGTTCCTAAAGGTCCTAGCAGTGTTATATTTAGTTAACACAACGAAAGTTAAAGACCCGCCAAATAATAATATCATTTTTATAGAATTGGCAAAATAGATAAATTGAATAGGAATCTGTATCATTTTTATGATTAATAAGCCAATACTGTTGCAGTTTCAACGAATAGGACTGTCGTATGTTCTGGTGTTTCAATACTAGCCGAATATAGGAAAACTAAATTTTTAGAAATGTCGCGATACCTACCTACTGCGCGCGTAGTTCGCTGTCTTATATGGGAACAGCACGTTTCCCAATGTCAGTACGTTTCCCGTTTCGTGTCCTTTACCTTCAAGATCTTTTTATTTATATAAGTCACTGACGATACGACAATGGTACAAACTTACGTTATCAAATCGTTACGTTGAAATCGTTGAATGGACCTACTATTAACATAATACCTACTTATTATATTACTTTGCTTCAGCAAACCAAATTTGATATAACAAATCGTATGTAATTATTGCAAATCGTATGTTATTTAGTAAATTAAAAATAAGGGAAGTACTTAGTTAAATTAACAGTTACTGTAACTTTCAAAAGTGAAGTTTCAAAATGGCCACCAAATTTAATAACGATATTCCGTGATAAAATGTCAAAATTAAACAATTGAAGAAAAATGAGATTCCGATATCAAAAGGCCGAAAAATTTTACAACTATTGTAACTAGAATTGCAGAGTTAAAGACCAATACCGTATCACTCAGCCGTGAACGTGGTACCTCTATAGGGCCGAAATGTCGTTTTGTTTAAAAAAAAAACAAGTAGGTATACCTACGCTATTTAGATCCGAATTTGTTTTTTTAATATTTACATAATTTATTATTATTATTATTCAATTTGTGCTTACAATATAATGTACACTTTTTCTTTTAAATAAATATTACATAAAATCACATACGTTTATCTGGTCTCAAAGTAATGAAGTATGAACTAAAGCACCTAGGTATGTTATGGAAATCAGAAATGACGACCGTACCACAAACACCCAGACCCGAGACAGTATAGAAAAGTACGTTTTCCTACACTGACCCAGCCGGGGATTGAACCCGGTACTTCAAAGATGGTGACACCATGAAAGCCGGTGTGTAAGCCACTCGACCACGGAGCTCGTCGAAATCGAAATTTAAGTAGGTATAGGAGAACCAACGAAATCTTTATTTAGTTTACATGGTTATTTTATTATTGCAGAATATAAAAACAGTGTAATTTTACTGCAGGATTCAAATTTGCTCAATAATAAAGATTATAACTTTTAGTAAATTCGTAAGTAAAACAATAGCTAATTTATTTAACAAAAATTATGGAATAACAATCTTTCAAAATATTTTAAATTAACACTTTTTTGTTTCTAAATAACCTATATACATATAAGCTGTTTAATAGGTATGGAATACTTTTTTTATGATACTAACATTGACTTATAAATAAATGGACGACGGGTCTAATACACAAACCACGAAAAAAATGTCCCAAGTCAACCTATTTAAACGTAGTGACATGTAAAGGAATATGAAAAAGCTGAAACGTTGAATTTAAATTGTAATGACATCGCAGTACTGACTAATTTTGCTTGCTTCGCTGTCAGTCGAACAAACGAAGACTAAAGCGTGAATGACGCTCTGTATACGATTTTAACGCCCTATAAGTTCGGACACTTTTTAGCGCGGACCCGACGTCCATATAATTGTAAGTCAATGAATACCAATTATAGAGACGAACAAGTCGTGCGCACTAGGAAAACTTTGTATCCCGGTTGCCATGGACACACATATAGACAACCACAAATTACACCTAAACTCTTTAACTTACCTAAACGAGATAAATATATGTAGGCCATAGGAATATTTCTCCTGGCCTGGGAATCCAACCTAGGAAATTGCGTGCAGTTCAGCAAAGTAACAGTTCGGCCACGGAGGCAGTGTCACTCAGATCTTTAAATCGCAAAGACCTGAGGGACACTGCCGCTGAGTCCATCACCCTGAGACATAAGTTGAAAAGTCCTATGTGCCTGTAATTTCACCAGCAAAACAGTCTTGCTTCGCGGCAGAAATGAGTAAGTTGGCGGTACCTACTTCCCTAGACGAACTCTTTTAAAAGGAGTTCTATTGCTATATATTTATATCTATATATATAATAAAGAATACGTTTATATAAGGTTCTATATCTACACTAGTTAGACCATTGTATAACTATATGTATAGTTAAGCCGTATTAAGAGCTACGTAAGAAACCACCCGCGGAAAATCTCGCAGACATTTCGAGGTCACCCTATTAAAGCTAATGGAGTGCAACACACTTTTTTAGTAGCACTTTACTTTCCATTACTTTTTTACCATAATTTTGCCAAGAAATCTAGTTCAGCTTTTGCCAGGCGTTGTAGTTGAAAAACATGAAGCGTCGCGACGCTACCTTAAGATGGCACAATTTCACAGCCAAAACATTGCTGACAACAATGTAATGAAATAATACAACAAAAAGCGGTAATGGCCTGATGGAAAAACGGTTGCTTCTCAATTATTATTGACGGTTTCCTGGGTGACATCTATATGATTTTAATTTCTAAACTAAAATACAAATTCAAATAACTTTTATGAAGTGCCTATCTCCGTTACCGCACGGTCAACCAACCATCTTGATCTGCCACGCAGAGGTATCGGGTTCGATTCCCGGGCCGGGAGAAAAATTGGATGTCTATGTGTGTCTTAGTGCTAGGCTATGAGTGTGTGCGAAAAAACATGTGTACATAATATGTGACGAGATTGAGACTCAGACAACACAATTCCTATGATCATTGAGAACCATAAGAGAATTGTTGACGATCCTGTGCTTATAGACGATATTGAATCACTTTCTTCGAGGAAATACTTTACCTGTCTGTTCTATCGCGTGTGCGATGGTCAATGTTCTGAAGAACATTCTATCAGTTTGTTATAATTATTAATACAAAGATCGAACACTCAGAAAAAAATCCTTCGATACGGCCGGATTCGAACCGACATCTTCTAGCTTACCGTGGCAGACGCTATACCAACTAAGCCACGGAACGAACCAGCGAACCTTACGAATTTTTCTATGTGCTTGCGTCGTGTTTTTGTATTTGGTTTTTCAACAACTTTTTAGTCGTAGCGCCAAGTAGCAAAATCGGCTTTATTTTACTTGTGCATGCAAAATAAATTAGAAACAATTATAGAAAATTGCATAAATCCTTCATAAAAAAGCAACATAATTTAATTTATTAAATTCGTAGATGGTTCGAGTTTACTCTTCAGCTTCACCAACCCGTGGTAACGTATAACGGAAAATTGACACTGGCGACAGTCGCCATATTTTTTATATTATTCTTATAAAACTGACACTGGTCCAAGCCTACCACCTATTTTCTATTAATATATTAATTTAATAATACACCAGTACCAGTGTAGATATAGTATGAAAAATGGAATATTTTTTTAATATTGACAACAGCCACATGGTTTCCAACTATCGATTAGGTAGGACCAAAAACTCGTTGAGTAGCGTCAGTTTAAGGTTAATAAGGTTAACAAATTAACGGAGCGGTTTCCATCCGCGCCCACCGGTGCTGCTAGACAGCGGTTTTATTTCAATACTCACGATCCTGCAAGTTTGTGCGGACACGTAGCTGCCGCGGTTGCGGGCACGAAACCGTTGCGATTGCGGAACAGACCGCGAAGTTAGTAGGTATTAATTGCAAGTCGCGCGGTTAATACAGAACTCACCCTGCGTGCGCCTGCACCACATTGTGGCTGAACCGACCGCCAAAGTGTGCGGGTGACGACAGTCGCCAAGTGCGCAAATCATCGCGTCCTGCGCGGTTCTACTAGTACCCAGCCGCGGCAACCGCGAACAACCGTCACCACTACAGGCGTAAAATGCGCCGTGAAATGTGCTACTAGTTTTACATACTTAACTGTTACATGCCGCGGTCCCGC